TATATATATATATATATATGAGAGAAATAATCAAGAAATCGAAATTAAAACACAAAGTAAAAACAATGGAAATAGAATTTGTGGGGGTTTTTTAATGTTTTTTGTAAATTATTAAAAAATAATAATAATTTTGTTTGTAGTAAATGTAACCCGTATATTGTGGAGTCATGTCTTTTAAGATATCTTTCATATCACAATTTCCAGATTCTCCTAATAGATTTGTGGAGGTTCTCCAGGTACTTTGGGCTTTTCAGATACTTTTTTCAATCATGAAAAACTTCACTCCCTGAGGAAATCAAATATCACACAGACCTGTAAACTGCAGGTTTGCGCTACATGAAGAATTTAACACTAAAGTGTCAACAACTTAAGACGCGCATGACGTAACTATGGGGAGAAAGTTAGAATACACACGGGGTTTCTTCAAGAACTCCAGGTTTTCAAATTTGTTTTTGAAAATATAAAAAATACTATACTTCCCAAGAAAATCAAACATTGCACAGAATTGTGAGCAAAAGCAGTAAAGACAAACTTGGATTTGTAGCATACCTGATTTATGCACAAGCAGAAACTCTTGATTCTGTTGGTCGGGGAGTAAAACTGAAGTGCAGTAAATGAATTTTTTCTTTAAAAAAAATATCATAATTTAAAAGGTAAAAGGAGTTTGTTTTCTCCTTCTATATAAGTTATTTTTCTGGATGGTTTCTTGGTCCAAATATATGCAAGACTGCCATTTGGTGTGAGCCCATTGTCTTTGGTCATATGTCTTTTCTGTACATGAGCTGGCCCTATGATGGTGAACCGATGATGGTGCTTCTCACCTGTAATACGATTAAGCTTTTAGAGAAGATTGATTTATGGATCTCTGAACACTTGAGTTTCAGAAACACAAACAAGGCTTTTTATTAACATCAGCACATTGTGCTGCATTAGCTGACCAAAGGGAACTTAAATAGCATCAAAACGCTCATCGTCTATCTGTCTTCACTTATTTCAGTAGAGCACAAAATAAGTGTTTTTGAGAGTGGACTCCATATTACGCAGCTGTCACGATATCAAATCGTGACAGCTGCAAGATCAAATGTAAGAATCTTCTGGGCAGGCCAGCGGTTTGTAAACACCAGACATGTCCAGCAGCATTAATCTAAACTGGGATTAAAAGGCATCAGAAAACTTTGATAGACCCCTGTGATTGGTTGATGCCTATTACACTGCATTGTAGCTGCTAAACCCATAATCAAGGAGAACATGATCAGATAATCTCAATATGTCTTTGCAGACCCTGCCCAACAGTCTAATCCTCAGATTTAGAATCTCAGATTAGGAATCCTAGATGATTAATCCCATATTGTGTTTGTACGTTGCCTGCAGGGGACCCTTCGCCGGGTGACCTTCTCGGTCGTGAGCCAACCTCAGGACGGTGGTTGCTATGACAGTGGCCTGGAAGATTCAGAGACACCAAGCAGCAAGAGCTCATCAGGACCGCGGCTGGGAGCTCTGCCGCTTCCCGAAGAAGGCTACGAGCGCACAACGCCGGAGGGCAGCGTGGGGGAGGAGGAGCACGTAGAGAACGGTATACTGGCATTCTGAACACAATTAACCATTCTGCCAAAATAATTCATTGAGCTTAAGACGCTGCCAAACACATTCACTGAAATATTTCCCCTCTCAAGGCTATGTACTTTATGCCAAGAAAGGCTTAGAGATATTTTGATTACACACTCTCTTTCTATCACACACACAGAAACAACCCAGAGAAAGACTTTCATTGGAACCTTGACTTGCTGTCAAGGTCCCAGGAGTCTTTATTCTTTCTCTCTTGATGGAAATGTGTTTTACACTATAAAGCAGTTGTCCTTTGTCTGTCTGCAAGCACCGCACATCAGGATTTCTGTGTGAGCAAGGCCTCTGTGTATTATGTGAGGAGATTTTTAGAAAAGCTAATGTGCGGCAGTGTCTTGTGCCAGAGTCTCATCCGTGGCCTTAAGCCTCTCTGTCAATGACAAAAAAAATTCCCTTTGTCCCTTTTTCCACTGCAAGTCTTAAAAAAAAGCTAGAGCTGTGGCAGCACAGCAAGGTCACCATGCCCATGGTAGCTGACTAATTGTAGGAGGGAGGGGGGTCAGTGTTATTCCGCTAAAATCATGTTTTTCTTTTGTGTTTTTTAATCAAAATTTTAATTTATTTTGGACTGTTTTTTTTTCATGGTCAGAAGAAGACAGGCTTCATAAGGCAGAATGTGTTGAGTATTTAAAATGCCTTTCAGAAGACCTTTTTACAATTTGACACTCTACAACCTCAAACTTCAATTTTTTTTTCTAGGGATTGGGAATTTCAGGAGAGATCAACACAAAATATTTTTTCCTACTAATGAAAACCTGAAAAATGTCCATGCATTGAATTCAGCCCCTCATCGCCCTTCCACCCTCCCTCTGCCCGTAGTAAACACTCCTTTGACCTAAACTGGCCTTTTCCTTCAAATACAGCAGCAAATCTTTTAGGGGTAACTGTCTACTGGGAAATCTGGAGGCTAAATGTTTTGCCCATTCTTTGAATAGCTCAAGGTCAGTCAGATTGCATGTAGTCTGCAAAACATCAATTTTCAAACTTTGCTAAAAATTATTAGGTCAAGACTTTAGCTGGATCATTCTAACTCATGAATGTGGCTCTGGCTTTATATTAATGGCTCCTGTGGCGATGAAAGGTGAACCCAGTCTCAAACTTTTTGTAGCCTCTGATATTTTTTTATTTTCGCAGGACTGTCTTGTATTTAATTCCCATCTGTCTGACCGGATTGTTTCTCCCTGCTTAAAAAATATAATATAATATAATGCTGATGACACTTTTCAGATTTTTAATAAACCCCTGAAAACCATAAAAAAAACATTTTATAACCCACTTCACAATTATGCACACGTTTGCGTAGGCCAAGCAAAATGAAATGCATTGACAGTCGAAATGTTGACTTTGTAAGTTCAAAGGGAGTGAATACTTTTGCAAGACACCATACGCATTTGTTGAAAATTGTCAGTTATGTTTAATGCAGGTGTCTCAGTCAGAGCGCAAAAACTTTTTGCGTCAAATAAAACATGTTTCTTGGCTGGCCTGGAAAAGCCTGGGGAATCTCCTGGAGGAGCAGGGCCGGGTGCCTCGGGCTGCTCAGGCTTGCGGCCCCTACAACCTGACCCCAGATAAGCAGTAATGGATCATTGAATGGTTAGATGAATTTAATTGTTTTTAAATGTTTTCCTTGCAGTCTCAATAAAGAACAAATCCCAAGCTATGCAAATCCAATTTATAGTTTGAAAACACATCACAATATGTGTGCATCATTAAAGCTGCTGCCTGGAGAAAAACCAAAAAAACAGAATTTGATAGCATTTATATCCGTTTCTACAGTGATGAGAGTATTGCACATTTTCAGCCAATCCATATGAAACAGCTATTACTTTAACACAAAATGGCAGCCAGTGTAGGTATTGTGTGGTGCAATTTAGTAAACCATTGCTAAAATCACCCATAAGTGCTTTGTTTAACTGTTTGGGTTTTTTTTTCTGTCGGGGATAAACATACGCTCAGATTAGCCAGTGCTTCTCTTTTACTGTGAAACAAAGTATTGTCCAGCACGTTCTTACCACTGGAGCCCTTTTAGCTGCAACATTTAACCTCTCGGCTGTGTTTTACCCAATAAAGTGGCTCACAAAAATCAAGTACCAGTTTGCTCCAAGAAGACAAGCGATTGCGTTATTGCATTGCGTAATGATAAATATGTAGGAGCGCTCCAAATATAGGTGCAGCTGAATCTACACAGTTAAAGTTGCAATGACTGCACTCTCTCTAGTGAACGCAGCAGCTCAATAGCATATAGAGGATGGGAGGGAGATAGGAGACCTTGTGTTGCTTACATAACGATGAACAATCCAAGTATAACTGAGAATATATAGAAACACAACCACAGTGCCACATAATTACCAAGCGTATTCACACTGCAGTCTTAAAAACCTACGTAGTCATCAGAATTTATTGGTTTAAAAAATAATATTTCTGTAATATTTTCCTTTTCATTAATAATACCCCTGTTAATGTAAAAAACACCTTTGCTGGAGCATCTTTTTTTATTGTCGTTAAAAACCCGTGCTGTAATTCCCGAACGTTCTCCTGAAAGGCCCATTCCGCCTTATTTAGCTACAGTGTCTGGCTAACAGGATGCCCACGATCTCATGTTTAGTTTCAAGTGTGTTTTATTTAATTACGCAACAAATAAACAACAACAAAAAAAAAACACTTCAAAATTAGCAATCGGCTGTGAATACCAAGTGAGGAAGTTTTGCTTCAGTGTTACTTAGTTTCTTTATACACAAAAGCACACTCCCTTTAAAAATTCCTGGTGTTAAAGATGAAACCTTTATCTACCCTCAGCGTGACTCATCCTGTGAAACCAACTCGCTTCTTAAGACAGAAAAGTCGAATAAAATACTTGCAAAATAACCTGATTGCAGCGATTCTCCAAAACAGTGGGATTGTGAGGACCTATATTGTCCACAGACCTCTTAAGGTGACTTCACAGTTCTCTTGTCATATTTTTTTGTTGATTTGGATGTTTGCTTTGACTTGGTGTGATGATGAAAAATAAAATCTCCCCTCAGCTTCTGCTTTCTAGCACAACTGAAGGTTTGGGGTTAAACCTGTCTGATATTTGGAACTGCTCAGGATTTTATCCACCTTAATAAAAAAAAAATAAAAAAACTTCAGAAAACTACGCCCAGATCATGATGCTGTCCCCACTTTACCTCAGAGTCGGTATGGTGCTTTTCCACCAAAAATGCCTTTTAAAATTGTAGGCCAAACATTTCAATACGTTTTTCTTGAGACGCTAGCACAGTCTTTGACGCAGTTTTAGAATACTATAGTCGCACCTGGATATTTCATTTTGCAGAAATGTTTTCTTCCAGATAAATCAAGAATAAAGTCAAAGTTGGATCAGATGCATAAAACTGAGAATTAGTTTAAAGGATTATGCCTTTTTTTATTATTATTATTTTCCATCTTTTACCCTACTACTCAGTAGGATAATACTGGATGTCACATTAAAAGGTTGGGAAGGTTTTGAAATGATCTCTCATGAGCTCTTTTTTTTTACACCGCAGAAGTTTCACATTTTGACACGGGTGTGAAAATGTCTGGTTTAAAAATCCACAACCTTTCATTCCTTTGAGGAAATCCGCGTCCAGTCACCGGTGTCCTCGTTGATCTTTTACGTGGGATGTGGGTTCACGTGGGATTTGAAATATGTAACCTTCACGTTACACGTACAGAAGTGTAGATTTTACCATTCAGAAAGCTGATAATTACATTCCCCAAGGCTCTGATGGTTGCTTTGTCTGACCTCACCTTTCACCTTTCGTGTAGTGCTGATCGCAGCTGCTTTCTCCCTTTTTTTTTTTTTAACATTCCTCAGAAGTCAGCAATTTGCATTCTGCTCAGACAGCATATTTTCTTCCTTTCAGGCTCCCCTCCCTAATAGTCTCAGTCTAATCTTTTTCTTTGTTTTTATCAGTTGTTTTCTTTCACCTGTTTTTCAGTTATAAACTCATTTTCTGCAGCTGTTTCCATTTGGTTGCCAACTTTTTTTTTTTGCTAATTTGGGATAGCAAAGTGAAATATTTAATTTTTTATTTTTTTTAATTTTTTTTTTACCCATTGTTATCCACTTCCTGTTTCCAGATGCTAGACAGCTTCCAGACGTAGCACTAACTGGAAAGTGCACCAGGGAGTGCGACGAGTTCGGCCACTCTGACACATGCTGGATGCCTGTCCGCCCTTCGCCACGGCAAAGGCAGCGGCACGGTAGCGACCCTCCGCGCCTCTCTACCTTTGCTCCAGGTGACGACAACAACAATCTCCATGGCAACGACCGTGAAAGCGACAGCGAGAGTGCCGGCAGCGCAGGGAGCTCGGAGCCTGGAGTCGTGGTCGGAGGAGAAGGCCAGAGGTTACCCCTAGCCAACGGAGACCCCCTCGGCACCCTGGGCCGTGGAGACCGCAACAGAAACATGGGCGACCACAACCGGAATCTTCTCAACCGCAAAATGACTTCCGCATCCTACGACACGTTCAGCGGTGCGGGCCTTGGGAGGCGCCAGCCCGAGGAGGAGGCAGGCGAGGGCCAAAACCCACCTGAGGTCATACCACTGGCGCGGACTGGGGGGGACTACAAGACGACGTCATGCCTCACGTTGTCACGCCGGGAAGTCTATCTGTAACAGCCTGTAGGTGGTGCAGTCCTCATGAAACTCCTACATTTGTGTGTTGGAAGAAAAAAATAAAAGAGGTTCCAAGGTGCACTGACAAGTCGTCAGTGTGGTTGGTCTTTTCAGCCTTCGAAGATGTGAAAAATGACAAATGGATGCTTTCAAAAAGCTAAAATCAAACTGTAACTTCAAGACTCGTACTAACAATTATCAGCACTTAAACTTAGGCAAGTGATTGATCAGGTCTCAGACTGGGAACTCTTTCCAAAAACACTTTTTTTTTAATTTATATATAACTGCTGAAAGCTACCTAACAGGCGATGACTGTGTGTGTCTACGCGGAGGAAAACAATCTTTTCTTCTGTTTTTTTTTTTTTGTTTTTGTTTTTTACTGAATCCAATGCATGCCTGACCCTTCGACCGTATATGTATTTATGTGAAGAAGCCCATATGAACTCAGATGCTCTAAATGTCTGGTGCATCTACACAAACTAAGGCTTCATCAGGCCAGAAATGGACTCGTCTGGTCTGACCCAGCTAAGAGACAACTGAAGTTTCCTCCTGTGGGGAAAAAAATAGACAAGAAAATGTGTTTTCACAATGACTTGATCTAATTCAAAGTAATCAAACTTTCCTATGCTTTACAGTGCCTTGCAAAAATGTTCATACTCCTTGATCTTTACTCCATTCTGTTACAACTCCATTCTTATATGTATTTTATTGGATTTTGTTTGTGTGTGATAATCCATTATAAAGTAGCAGGTAAATGTAAAGTAGAAGGATTGATATACAATTTTAAAAATATAAATCTGATCAAACCTTTTGGTCTACTTTAAAAAAAACACAGCATCTTCCTGAACACACCATTATGGACGCATCATGCTGCGGGATGCGTTTTTCAGCAGAAACAGAGAAACTGGCCGTAGCTGATAATAATGGATTGAGCTGATAGAGGGGAAATCCAGGAAGAAAACCTGATGTAGGTTGTAAGATACTTGAGTTTGGTGCTGAGGTTCACTTTCAAGTGTAAAACCACAAATCTAAACAGTCAGAGTGGTTTTGACCAAACCGTATTCCTATGCAGTCTGGGAAAAACTGGAGTTTCATTATTGTTACCACGTCTGAATAAAAATGATAATTAAGTTCAGCTAATTGAAGTTTCTCCAGATGAAAAAGAATGAATTTGAACTTTTCCGTTCTTCTAAGTAAGAACTGAGGCCAGTCAATGTCTAGACATAAATCCAGTAGAGAATCTGCAAAAACGGCTTTTCACATCAATACCAGAACTCTCTGCCAAGAGTGAATAACACGCAGATGGACTAACGAGGTGACATTTGACGTCAATTGTTTGCACTAGATTTTATTTAAGGGCATTAGAATAATGGTTTCTACAAATGCAACAGTTTTAGATGTTTGTATGTAAATCATTTTGAAAGCCACGTATTATTCTACTTCTGATTCACATCTGTGCATCATTACTTTTGGTTGGCCTATAACATAAGATCTTAAAAGAGAGCCCATTGAGGTTTGAGGTTGTAACGTGATAAAATGTGCAAAGGTCCAATGAGTATGAATAGGTTTGTAATGCACTGTAGCTAAATGTATCATAGCTGAGGTGTGGGGTGTTAACCAGCCCCCCCTTCTCCCCCCGAGATTCTTACAGTGTGAACAGAAAATCAGAGCAAGACTAGACTTTTTTTATACAGCGATCAAATGTAACTACTCACAATACAAGGTTGTCATCGCGTGTTTCTAGTGCCAGAGTGTTCTGCCACGAGTGAAGACGTATGTTTATGATTTTCCCCTCACTCCCCACTCTGTATGTATATATTGTATGTGCGCATTGGATCAAGCAGCAGTGTTCTCTTTCTGCTGCTCTCCGTAGTTTCAGAGTAGACATAGGTGCCAACTTCATTTTGCATCTACACATACACACACATATTTATATATGAATATATATACACATGCAAGCATGCAGTTGCAAACACATAGCGTACACACATTAGCATGTACCCTCGAGCTCATGCAGAGCGTTTGTAGAGCTCACGTAGGGTGAAGAGTTTTAAGGTAAAGTCTATAATAACCTGCATTCACTTCCATGCAGTAAAATCATGTAAGAGACACAAACGTACACAAATCAAGTTCATTCGAAAGAAACAAAACTGAGATTTTTGCGAAACACTCGGTTCATGTGTGTTTGTGCTTTCCTCCACGTCTTTTTTCTTTTTCTTATGCATTGCCTCATCAAACTAGCTGTAGCGTTTTGCCTGCTCCTCTCCAGCCAGTATTTAAACATGAAACGTATTTAAATAATTACCCATCTCTCTCTTTCTCTGACTGATCCGCAAGCCAAGATTAAAGAGAATACCAGTGGCATCTACTCTTAAAGTAACGATAGAAACCGTTGGAGTTAGAGATATTCCACATAGTGTAAGTAGGACTCGTAAAAGAACCACGTCTCTGTAATTCCTGTAAGGTATATTAAGGAAAGAAAAAGAAACTCTGCATGACAGAAAATGTATTTTTTTTTCTCTTTCTTTTTTTTTAAGATACAGCTTGTGCTTATTATTTTTTGGCAGCACGACTGTTTGGATACATCTGTACTAAATGACTGCGCTTTACAAAGGGGGTAGTGGAGATAATGATGGCGGACGGAGGAACTGGGCTGCAGTTGGGTCAAATTGGTTGGGCCTTTTTCTCTCAGAGTTTTTCAGAGTTGAGAGGAAGGGTTGTGCCAGAGGGTGGAACGAGCATGTCGTGCGGCGGGAGAGCGACGTTCTGACCTGAACACGCCCGTGCTGCTGTGCCGGTAACAGACTCCTTCATGTCCCGGCCTGCCCGTCATCTACTGCGGCAGCCTCTCCGACACACTCGGCTGCGTAGTACAGAGGAGTGGGTGTGGATCGAGGCCAACGCTTCTTAATTCCCATCATCGGAGCGTGTGTGTGTGTGTGCGTGTGAGCGCGTGTGTGTGTGCGTGTGTGTGTGTGGCTCCATGGCGTGATAGGGATAATAGGGTTAGGTCGTCCCTGTGGTCTTAATGAGTTTCCTTTCTCCTCTCCTCTCCTCCCTCGATCTACACTGATCTCATTAATGTCTGAATGGGCGAATGTAACTCTGGTGGAAACTGCCAGTAAGTCTGTCTCCTATGTTTTTCTTGTTTTTTTTTGTTTTGTTTTTTTTTTTTTTTTTTTTTTTTTTTTTATCTGGTTGTTTTGGATCAGACTAGACAAAGAGACAAGATTTAAAAAAAAAAAAATGAACAGCAGCAAACTCAGGTGTGCAAAGACATCTTACCTTTTTAAGAGGGTAATTTAGATGTTCTACTTAAACTCCTTGTAAAATTGTACATACTTCAGACTTTATTACTGTAATGTACTACTGTACTGCACAATCTGGAGTTTTGAGCCCACTGACGTACCTATTTAATCCCCGGCCTTCATTACCTCCAACACCCCCCACCCGGCCCCCAGCCTCTAGTGTTGCTGATTTAAAGAGCTCTGTTCTTGATGGACTGCGCTAAAGAAGAACCAAAAAAAAAAAAAAAAAAAAAGGGAAAGCTTTGGAGACTCTGTTGTTGAGACTTCACATTGCAAAATGGACTGCTGGAACGAGGTGCACGAGGGTCCCCACTGCGAAGTAAAACACTCGGGATACCTTTTAAGAAAAAAAACAAAAAACAAAAAAAAAAAACCCAAGAGTTGTCTAAGAAGCGCTTTTGTCTTCAGACTACTGTTTTATGGCAGTTACATGATGATACTTTTCAAACCCCATCTGATCTGGATTTCACGGAACTTGCTGTATATGAAACTGTGTGGGTGTGTCCATTTTCTTTTTATACTGCACGTTTAAACCTGAATATGTTTTAGACTACTGGAAAACAAAGAGGAAAAACAGAGCGGACTCAGATCTGTCATCCACAAAGACTTTTATAAAAAAAAAAAAAACTCTTTTATCTTGTCTTCTCCTGGTGTTTTATCCTCGCCTTGTACATAGAAAACCTACACTGTAGAAAGACTGTCTGGAAACCCCGAAGAGAAGATGGCATGCTTAAGGTTCAAATCTGCACTCGAGAAAAAGAAAAAAAATCAGATGAAAAACTGCTTTTCTTTTCTTTTTCATTGTTTTCTCATCTTAGGGGACTGTCTCATTTTTTGCTTTTTTTGACTGCTCCCTTCCTGTAAGTACATAATGAACTAATTGCATTTGCTATGATGATTAAGAAGAAGAAGAGGGGGAGTAGGAGGAGGAGGAGGAGGAGCAAATTAATGGTTTGGTAATGAAGATGAATCATGTACAAGTTTGACTTTCACATTAAAAATTTCAAACACTCATTTGGCTTACAGCTCTCTTACTCTTTTTTTGTCTTTTTTTTTCTTAGGTGCTGTCAGTCAATCAATTTTGAATTTTAATGAATACAATGAGAGAGTTGCTTCAAGTCAAATCAGCTCTTGAGTCATTGACTTAGACTGGAGTCTCAAATAAGATGCAAAAAAACAAAAAAAAAAGTCAGGCATATCTGCCTTTTGTTTCATTGATGTTGGAAGAGCGTGCCTAAAGGAAACAGGGCTTCAATATTACCTTATTATTCATCTCACATTATACTGTACACAATTTGATCAACAGAAAAGGCATACTGCAATAGATCTTTTAGACATATTGGAAAATTTCATCTTATATGTGCTACAGATCCGATGTGGGTATAACCCAATAACAGTACTAAATCTTAGTATGCAAGAGCTTCCCTCACTTTGCTGTGCAGGATTCTAGAAACTGAAGGTAGAACTCATTGGATGGCCTAGTTTTTTTTTTTAATTATTATTAATTCAGCAAACAATTATCTAAGTTTTTAAGGGCATTGGAAATTCCTTTTCGGATGATGGGTTGATCTTTAAGTCCTTTCTGCCTAATTTTATTTCCGTTTATTCAAAAGCATTTGCTCTTTCACAGGTTCTAGTTCAGATTGTCAATTCGAACGTTGAAGGTACAAAATATATAAATGTTAGCTCAGTATCTAAATTAGTTTAACTGGGCCTATTTAGGGCCCTGTCCACTGTAAGGCAAAGGTATTCCAACATGATTAGTTGATGAATATGTATCTACGGGCGTTGGAGTTAAGCATATAACACATTTGCTGAGTGGTGGTTTGAAGTGAATAAGCAGCATAAGTTTACTAGATCGTTTTTCCCCTTTATTTTTAACCTCTGGAGGTAAAAAAAAAAAAAAAAGAACCTCTTGAGGTTAAAAATAAAGGGGAAAAAACGATACACCCTCTAATGGCAAAGCCACACCATTCCACACCCTTCATACCAAGACCACAGGCGCTATTCAAAACAGGAGTAAATCAAAAGAAAAGCATATATTATCAGAGACTTGACACAACTTGATGTTCCACGTAATCAGATTAGTTATCTTGTTTGAGCTCATATATCCTGTGTTTCTCAAAACAACATACAGTCACAAGATAGGAAGCAGCAGCTTTGGATGTGCACTCCAGAAACTCATCTGGAACTCAACATCTGGGGCTCAAGTTTCTTAAACAAACTTTACTTGGTGTAATCAACTGTGACAGTAAGCCGGTATTTGTAGATGCTGTGAGTAAATGATTCATGTTTTCTCCTCTGAGTTATATATAATAGACTCTGTAAATGCTGGTTTTGTGGGTAAAGTCATGCACAGTACGTTGGGATTCTCTTTGATGTTTCTCAAAAGCAAAGTGAATTCAAGGCAGATTCTAAGTTCCTTAAATTTTTGTGTTTTCTGTGCTACCTTTGAGCAAACACTTAAGTTGAGTCAAGGCATGGCTTTGACAGAGACCTGCATCTTTTCCACTCCAATGGTCAGTTTAATATACAAACCAGAGATATTGAAGAACTGCAGGCTGGTGATTGCAACATTCGCCTTTATCTTTTAATAAATGACTTTCGCTTCTCATAAAGAACTAACAGAAATACAGAGCCGGTTCTTCATGATACAAAAACTGCCTGACTAATTAATTCAGACCTTGTGCATTAACAGGTGTTCACTCTTACTATTAGTTTTCTTTTTAATGGAAATGCATCTTTTTTAATTTTAATAGGGTACATGTTTATTAATTTGTAAAGCAATTTTTCGTTGTGCATTGCAGACTGTTTATACATATGGAATTGAAATTTCTGAAAAATATATCGATTTTAAAAGAGTAATTGTTAAATTAGGTTTTGAACTTATAACTTAAAGCACTTGTGAACATCTCTGCCTCAAGAAATATAATATTTACTTCAACCATCAGATGCAAGTGGGACCATCGGTGTGGTTGTGTACTTCAATCTAAACACAAATTCATGTTACGTGTAGCCAGTTTGCATCTGCAGATGAAGGTCATTTGAAGTAACTAAGACTCGAGTCAGTCTTAGTCATCTTTTTCAGGGTCGTCAAGAGGCCGAGTTCAATTTCTGAGCAGTTAAGAACTGATACATTCTGCAGCACGACTCTTTATTTTAATGTAGATCTGTGATGTAATTCTGCAGCACACTGACATATCTGGGATAGAGTACGGAGATGTGGCGCTGTTCATCATTTTTAATCTTTGAAAGGTGAATATTCCTAAACTTGATGCTGCTCTGTGAAAAGTTTTCAAATGTGGAAGCAATTTGGACTTAAGACTTATCTTACAAAACGATTCACAGGTGTTAACAGCTGCAAAGATTACTGTGAAGGACTCTGAAATGTCAAAAAAAAATGGAAGAAAAAAAAAAAATCCCGCAACGTGTATTCTGTTTTTGCAAGTATTCAATACTGACCCCATGTGGTCATAGCTGATATATTTCTATTATTATATTCCTCATTTTTGTTTCACCCTCCTACAGAGGACAGGAATACTGCTATTAAAATGAGACAAGTAAATTAGCTAGAAAGATTTCTTTATCTGCAAGAAGAAAATTGCATCGTTGTTCGTGTCACATTCTTGTGTTCAAACAATTCATTGCAAGTGTAAACACTGTGGAGTCAATGTTACCGTTCAGGATGGAGACTGATTTTTGTGTCCAGGTTTTGGTGTGAAATTTGCGAATCAACTCCAGAACTAAAGAGCTTGTGAAAAAGCTGGTAACAGAGTGTCATTATTCACAGTGAGAAATTAAAAAAAAAGAAAAAAAAAGGTGATGTGTCTTTTTATACAGCACATGTAAATAACTTTAACTGGATTTACATGCTAATTGTCAAGCTTTAAAATTTGGCAAGAAGATTCTAGCATTATGCTTCAGAATGCTAAAATGTCCATGTCTTGGCTTATTTCTTAGATTTGCAGTTCTTTGGAAATTCTTCATGTTTAATGTAGATATTGACAAGTTTAAGTAAAATGTGATTTTCTCTTGGCTGACCACTAAAGGTTGATCAGGAAATGACCTTATAGGTCAGTTTAGCTCCACGTGAATGACCGGCTCTTCTGCTGTCTTTGACATTTTAAAGAAATGGGCCTACAGTGAGTGAGTTGGTGGATTTCAACTAGTAAATCCACCTAATGTGAACTTTACGCAGTTGATTTGAAAGCTACAGAAGCAGTAGCTTTTCTTTGATCTCCCCACGGATGACAGAACCAGTCAGCCTATATCTGAGGCTGAGTCCAGCCACCCTCCAAATGAGGAATTGCAGTCATGATCCCTGTCTCAGGGCCACAGGTGAGGGTTGGAATGTAGCCAGGCTGGTGCATTGAGAGCTTTGCATTTTGGCCCAACTCTTTTTTTCATCACAACAGATCAGAGCAAGCCCCAGTTTGTCTGCACATCTGCTATTCTATCCTACCATCACTATGATGCGCCTTGCCACCCAAACTACTGCTTCACACTCATCAAGCAAACTGCTTCAGTGCACACTGGAGGTCACGACCTGAAGAAGCCAAGAGAACCACATCATTTGCATAAAGCAAAGATGAGATCCTGAGGTTTTTAAACCTCAGAACACTCTCTCTTCTTCGTAACTACATCTTGAGATCCTCTCCTTGAACACCATGAATACGATCACGACCAGGGCCTTGCAGTTATTATAAATAATATTATAATAATAATAACATTATGACTATTATGATTACTGTTGTTGTTGTTTTTAGGGTTGGACTTTAAGCTTGAGGCCTTAAAACAACACCAACTTGTTTGCATATTTGTCTCTTACAAAGTAGATGTTTTTAAAACAACAAATTACGAAATGCTGAGCAAGCCCCAGTTATTTCTTTATTTCAGTTATTGTCATCTGAAGTCACCAATGAAGTC